TGTGATTGTAAATGGCCATTACTTCAGGAAAGAGTTGTGTGGGAGGATGCAGAGACAAATGGTTGGAATGTTTAAAACTCTGCAAATATTTTGCCTCAAATTTACTTATGCTCATTTTTCTGGACACTCAAAATCCTTGCAGTAATGGTTCAGTTGAGGAAGAGTATGGGTAGAACGTGTGTGCATAAAGCTTAAAACGATAAAGTGAACGCAACAAATCCTCACATCGACTGTAACGATTTAAGGCTAGAGAAATGGTTCATTTGAACAAATAAACAAAAGCACATGTGTTCATTTTATTTCCCTATCAATAATTTATTGGGGCAGGGACTAGATGGTTCTGTGGATAAGGGTCAGCTACTTAAGCACGCAAAGTTCAGATTTCTATGTAGAATTACAGGACTTATGCTGAGCAAAATAGAGTAGCATGATTCAAGACTGAGGGATCCTGGGAGCCTTACAGGCCAGCTGCCCTTGTGAATATATGAACTGGGGAATAAAAGACCCATTTCAAATAAGGTGGAGAGCAAAGGCCTATACCCAGGGTTCTCTTCTGACCTGTCATATACACCCCACACACACACGTGTGCACCCACACCCACGCACATACACAGCAGCACCAACAGCAGTAGAGAATACACCAGGCCAGAGGAGAGCACGTTGTGAGTTGATGTTCATCCTAAGCAACTCCTACCAACTTCAGACTCATTGTTCTTTCCCTGCCCGTTTCCCCAGTTAGGCAGATAAAAAAGTGTGCCTGACAAAGAAAACAACCCTGCCTGTTTGCCTTCCCCGCCACACCTCTGCCACACCTGCTCTCCGGCCCTTCCCCGTTTGGATAAGTACAAAGGTACTAATATCTAACTGGACTTTGAACTTCCTCTTTGTCTCTTGGGAAAAGCGCATTTGAGAGGTCTGCATTCAGCTCCAGAGACCGTGGTCCACCCCCAAACGCCAGTACCTTTGAGAGCAGCAGCCAGGCTCTCCCAGAGTTTGGGGACAGCCTGAGGCCTTCAGAACATATTCCGGGGCTTCCGCAGGAAGCTGGCACTTGCTGTGGTCTCCTGATGGGTATGCAGCACACACCTGTGACCACAGCACTTGGAGCTGGAGGCTGCCCAGTGAATGGAGGCCAGCCGGGCTCCATGGGACCCTGACTCAAAATACAAAACGAAACCAACAGAAAAGTCAAATGGCCCATTTCCCTGGAGGAAGAACAGAACAATGTTTGAATTCAGGAATGACAGCTCTGCCGGCTCCTTTTCCCCACTTGACCACTGGCCCTCAGTTGTTAAATGTTTCTCTACACAAACCTCAGCATCCACATGCTCTTCCTCTATGGCTGACTTGGCTGTTAGTCACGCAGACAATTGAAAGCCCCCGAGCAATGTCCTGTGAAATCTGGGGGCTCCTAAACTACACAAACTGCTCCTTGTTACTGACTTAGAGCAGTTCCCACGGAGACTAAGAGCTCACTTAGTCCAGCCCCTGCATCTCCTGGTAAAATCTCTCGCATTCCCCCCACCCTTCTTGTTATTTTCCATTTCTTCCCTCTTGAGAAGGTTCTAAAAGGAGCCCACATCTCCCTGGCCATTGTCATATGAGTGCACATTTGCTCTGGGCGACATCAAATCTCAGTGACCTAACTGAATGAGTTTGCATCCTAATTAACACGTCTGTAATTTTCCACTGAAAGCTTATGGGGCGTCTCGAGGTCATAGTAAGTCATTCCCACAGTCGTCACTTTCTCATAGGGAACAGACACTGTCACATAATCCCAGCCATGCACTAAGAGCCCCGTTTATCCACGTGTGCATTCAATGGGTAGTCACAGGGAGGGATGACGACCACTACTAGGTGATCGGTTTGGTGCTGTGGACGGAGTTAGGATTGAAGCGGCCACCATCCCCCTCCCTGTGAAACAACACGCATGAACACACCCAAGGGGTAATTTGCATGCAACAGAAGCATGTGGGTATGCAGAGAGACCTAGAGTACTTCCCTGGAGAACCACTTAGTGCCTTCTCTACATTCTCCCCCAAACACACCGCTACTGCCACAGTTTAGGCCTTCTGTGGTTCACATTGGAATCCCAACAGTAGTAGTTTTTGTTGAATAAAGAGGAAGAATAACAGTGGTCGGACCGGAAAAGCAGCTGACGCGTAGGGGATGTGGTTTGTTTAGAGAAATGACCCCCAGGCCATGATCAGGCATCAAGATGGCGGGAAGAGCATTAGAGGGAAGCAATTCAGTATCGGGGTCATAGCATCGCACAAGGAGGGAAAACTCCCATTTAAAACCGGTAGCGCGTGCCTTTAATCCCAGCATTCAGGAGGCAGAGGCAGGCAGGTCTCAGAGGACAGCCTGGTCTACAGATCAAGTTCCAGGACAGCCAGGGCTACACAGTGAAACCCCCATCTCAAAAAACATGCAAGCAAAAACAATCTAGAGAGGAGCTTCATCCAGAGAGGAGGGGAGGGGCAGCCGGAGGCACCTCTGCGGAGAGCAGGAAGATAAACAGCAGTTTCTAGTCAGCCAGCGTGAGGGGTGCTTCCAGGAAGCCTCATGCCATGCCATGATTTAATTCAGTACAGCACATGTGAACCAGAACACAGAAGAGCCAGACACCGCAAACTGAAATCTGTCAAGTCATACAGCACAGACTGCTTAACTCTTCCAGACACAGCTGTGGGGAGGCGTGGCCTGACTCTTCAGGCCGATGATGAACGGGGTCTAAAGGGGCAGACCCCTGTTCTCACGGCTTTCCTGCTGTGTGCTCCCTTCTACTCCGGCTTCACTCAGCTCATCCTTTACTGATGGCTTAATGATTTTCTAGGAATACATAAAAGAACATGTGTAGCGAAAAGCTTGTTGTGTTTCCTTAACTAACACACCTGTTCACCAGAGCCTGTTTGCTGCCTAAAAGGAAAGCAACCCGCCCCTTTTGCTTAAAACAAGCTGTTTGTTCCTTTATAGCGCTTATGTTAATAAAAATAAACACAGCAAGCCAGGACTACCGGTTCATGCCTGTAATACCAGGATTCAGGAAGTGAAGCCAAGAAGACCAGCTGTGTAGTCAGCTCAAGGACAGCCTGGGCTACAAATAAATCATCAAACTTCATTTTTATTTTATTTTCTTTTAATTAAAACATTATGCTAGAAACACTATAAAATGTTGTAAGGTGTGGGAAGAGAAAACTACAGACACATGAGTCTAGACTGTAGGTTCCACTCTGTTGCTGAGTGCCGGTAGGAAAAGCCACCAGAAGATACTTCTAGAAGCTTCTACATTTGACTCTTGATCTCCCAAGACCCATATGGTGGAAGGGAGAGACTCCATTTCGGCCAGTTGCCCTCTGATCTCCCTGTGTGCACCATGGTATGCAAGCTTCGCTTCCCGTCCATGCACACAAAGTAAATGAATCAAAATGTAATAACCATTTGAAAAAATAAAGCAAATCAATGAAAATGCATCCAAATGTCAAATCCAGGTGTGTTTCCTGTACTGACGAGAGGGGCTCTGTTTCCAACAGGTTCTCCAGAGCTCATGTGGGCACCACAACGTAGGCTGGAGCCGTTGATGGCACATCAGCATTCTACTCAAGCTCTTCTCAAAATTACCCTCTCGACTTAAGTCAGCCCCCCATTAGAATTCCACCTAATAACAGCTGAGTACCTTAATAACAAGAGAAGGTCTAGCCCAGGAAGTCACAGTCTAGCCCTGGGGCTGAGCTGTCCAAGTGATTGCACATGTGGAGGCCTGGTTGTGACCGCTGGGTACATGCCAAGAACCCACACAGCCTTTGCTTGGGCACAAGAACATTTATCTGAGTCACCGTTTTTATAGTCCCAAGTATTTTTGAATTACCTTCCTGGGTGTAGAAATTGTTTCCCAAGTGCTTAAAAGTAGTGACCCTCATTCACGCAGCTGAGAGTAGAATGTTCTCAAAACACAGGGCCTCAGCGGCCATTCACGATTTATCAATCCTCAACTCGTAGTACCAGGAATGCTGCTGACCAGCAATTGTGTGGGGGGTAGGGGAATGGAGTTCCTATAGTTCACCTGGTTTTGCATCAGAGACCAGGACAGAAGGATTATATAAAAGGCATTCAGCCATACTCACATTAGTAGGCATCAAATTGCTTATGAAAATCAGAGTATATTTCAAGTTGGAATTAGTTAAACGGGACTATATCCCCACAGCAGTGTACTCCACACACCTGCCTGTGACTGCGCTGTTTACATTAAAAGTTCCCATGTGTCACCCTTCTACTGAATACTCACGTTCAGATATGTGTTTGGGGGGCGGGAGAGAGGGATGGCTCGGTACTAAGAGTACTTGCAGCTCTTACAGAGTGCTCATATGGTGACTCACAATCACAGTGATCCCATGCTCTCTTCCGACCTCCAGGGCACCAGGCATGCTCGCAGTACACATACAGGCAAACATCCATACACATGAAGTAAAATAAATAAACCTAAAAAAAAAAAAGGAATCAAATTGTATGGGGTGGAGACACTGAAGCAAATTTCGATTGCCTTATTGGGTAAAGTCATGTGTATGATCAGTTTCAGTGAAATAAAATCCTTAAAAACTTTTTTCCCCTTTTTTGATGGGAGTCAAGGAAAGAATGTATTGCCATAACTCCGATAACACACAGCAATTTTGCCTTTTGTGCTGTGATGGGCCCACTAGCACCTTTTGGAATGTTCTTGGGACCTGTCACACTGCTCCGGGCAGGTGCCTGGCTCCACAGCCCGCCAGTTTTGCAGGCCCAGGAGGTTGGGACTACATTCCAGCTGTTCTAGCGCTTGAGTCTCCCCCCGCCCCCGCCCGGGGCGTCACTGGCCCAGCACATGGCAATACGGAAGGAAGCTGATTCTGCTCTGAGTTCTGCAGAGGAACCGCATAACCATACCATCACACCACCCCCTCGAGACTTATGGGGAGCTCTGGAGTCCAGTACTCAGAAAGGCCAGGGCTTAGGCCACCTAGGTGCGGGGACATCGGACGCGCACCGTGAGACCGCGACCCGGGGTGAGCTTCCAAGGAGGAGCAGTGGAGGAGCCCAGGAGCCCGGGCTGGGGAACCAGCGCAGGCGCAGCAGGAATCGCCCCCCGAGCAGGGCCCTGCAGGTCTGGGGGCAAAGTGTCTGGGCGGGACAGGGTGGCGCCGGGCCAGGCTCTCCGCCCGGCTCACCTCGCCCTGGACCTGGGAGGGGCGCGGCACCGCCCGCGGGCCTGTGGATGCCTGGCCCGCCCCCTCCATGGCCCCGGCCCGCGGCGAGCGGCTGTATGAGAGCCGGTGCCGCCCCTCGCGGTCGGTGGACGCGTGGCGAGCCGAGGCGTCCGCTCCTGAGCTCTGCATGGGGACGCCGGGGACCCGGCAACGCGCACGACGCGGAGGCTGGGAATTGCCCCGGAGCTCCTCCACGCTGGCTGCAGCCGGGCTGCTCTGCACCGCCTTGACCGCCTGCATCTGCTGGGGACAGCTGCCGCCGCTGCCCTGGACGTCTCCAGCCCCGCCGCGTCCGGTGGGCGTGCTGCTCTGGTGGGAACCTTTTGGGGGGCGCGGCGGCCACCCCAGGTCCCCCCCTGACTGCAGCCTGCTCTTCAACATCAGCGGCTGTCGCTTGCTCACCGACCGCGCGGCCTACTGGGAGGCTCGGGCGGTGCTGTTCCACCACCGCGACCTGGTGAGGGGACCCCCCGACTGGCCCCCGCCCTGGGGCGCCCGAGTGCGCACGGACGAGGCTCTGCAGCAACCTGTGTTCGACGACCCGGAGGGAGCGGCGATGCTAGCCGGCGAAGCCCTGGAGACCGTAGGCTCCAGACCCCCGGGGCAACTCTGGGTGTGGATGAACTTCGAATCGCCCACCCACTCGCCCGGGCTGCGGGGCTTGGCTAAAAACCTTTTCAACTGGACGCTGTCTTACCGGGCCGACTCGGATGTCTTCGTGCCCTATGGCTTCCTGTACCCCAGGAGCCATCCAGCTGACCAGCCGCCAGGCCTGAGCCCCCCGCTGGCCCGCAAGCGGGGCCTGGTGGCCTGGGTCGTGAGCCACTGGGATGAGCGCCAGGCGCGGGTCCGGTACTACCGCCAGCTGATCCAGCATGTGCCTGTGGACGTGTTTGGTCGGGCGGCCGCAGGGAAACCGGTGCCAGCCAGCGGGCTGCTACACACTGTGGCCCGCTACAAGTTTTACCTGGCCTTCGAGAACTCGCAGCACGTGGATTACATCACCGAGAAGCTGTGGCGCAATGCCTTCCTGGCTGGGGCCGTGCCAGTGGTGCTAGGTCCTGACCGTGCGAACTATGAGCGCTTCGTGCCTCGTGGCTCCTTCATCCACGTGGACGACTTCCCCAGTGCTGCCTCGCTGGCTGCCTACCTGCTCTTTCTCGACCGAAACCTGGCTGTCTATCGCCGCTACTTCCACTGGCGCCGGAGCTATGCGGTACACATTACCTCTTTCTGGGACGAGCCGTGGTGCCGGACATGCCAAGCGGTGCAGACCTACGGCGACCAGCCCAAGAGCATAGGAAACTTGGCAAGCTGGTTTGAGCGGTGAGGCCACTCTGCTGTGAATTGAATACATCTCCTTGACCGAGCTTTCTTAATACCCAATTTTGCTTGATGGGGAAAAGATGAGTTACCAATTAATCCTGTTTAGCACAAGGGTGGGATGGGAAAATCCCCAGGCCCTTGTGACGTTTTATGCAGAGCTGGGCTGGCTCTCCGAGGAGGGGCAACGGTGCCCCGGTTGAGGAAAGAGTCCGTTCCTTACCTGCCACCCGTGTGAAGAAGTGGCCTTTGCTTCTGGCCACCGGCTCTAATGGGGGTCCACGTGGCCTCTAAATCTTAGACCTATTTGTTCTCTGACCCATGGTTGGTTGAACCAATAGGGAGCAGCCCACCGTTTTCGAAAGCCCGTGGGTGTGAGATACTGAGAGGACCGTGGCCCCAAGAGGGTCTTTCTTTGATGGTTGGATTCCTCAAACCCTCCAATCATGGAAAAGATAAGCCATTGATTTCCTTCACCAGCGGTGTGTGTCTCCAGCCCGGGAACAGAAACAAGAGGCAAGGTTATCCTCAGCCCAAAATCAAGATGAAGACACTAGAAACCTGTTCCTGGAAAGCTGCATTTGAGTGACACCCCAAATCCAGAGCCCCAGGGGAGTGCAGTATTTAACAGAAATAAATGGAAAGTCCCTTTACAATGTGAATGATCATTTCCTAATTGTTTCTTCTGTCTTTATATTTTCCTATAACCCGGAGTAAGAAAACTTTAAAAATACAGATATGAAAAAGTACACATAATCTCCTAGCCAGTGTTTACAACGGAAGAGACCAAAACGACAACATCATGCCCACGAATGTGTTTGCTTCGTGTCTTTGCTGGACCTGAAATTTAAGCTGGGATGTTAGTCCTTCCGCAGGGTTGGCGGTGCTGCGCGGAGAGCAGTAAAAGAGATTTTGATGGACTGTGGGTCTGTGCAAAAGAGAAAAAAAAAAAAAAAACTTGTGGTATCTGTACATGGTTGTTCGTTCTGTTTCTGTCCAGTTTTTTGTTAAATGGAACAGAACTAGTGCCTTCAAATTAGTTGTCTGTTGTTTGTTAAATGCTAAAATCTTCAGGGTCCCCTGTGAATCTGCACCTCTGTATACTGATTCTAGTGCCTTTGAGCCTATGCTGTGGGATCAATCTTGAAAATACACTCCCTGACTTTCTAAGTTCAACAGATGTCAGTGTGCTTACTAGTGGCAAACGCTGGGCTTGAGCGCCCCAGGGAGGTACAGAAAGGTATAAGAAGTGTCTTCTCCTGGGGCTTCTGTAATCTACCACTGCCACAGTGAATAGGGATTTGAGTCACAAAAATAAAGCATCATTCATAAGTCAAAAGGCCTCATGCTGTTAAGCTAGGACCTTCTGTCACTGTTATGGGCAGAGTCCAAGATGATTATCTTTATACAGAATTCTGCCGCTGTTCCTCTGTTCCGTTAGGGCAGTTGCCTTGAGTCAAAAGCTTTTACATGAAAGCTTGTAAAGCTCACGGAGGCCCAGGGGCCTCTATTCTCCTCCCATAAAGGGAGTAATTAAAAGCGTGAATAACATTTCCTCCTTCAAGTGTTTCAGGGTGGGCAGAACTGTAATTACAGAACACCAGCCACCCAGCAAGGGCAAAACAAAAGTTCTGGGTTTTGTTTGTTTTGGTTTTTCAATATAGGGTTTCTCAGTATAGTCCTGGAACTCTCTCTGTAGACCAGGCTGACCTTGAACTCAGAGATGTGCCTGCCCCTGCCTTCCGAGGGTAAGGATTAAAGAAAGGTGTGCACCACCACATCCAGCTTTTAAAATGAGTATTGATGAAACGTTGGCCAGGGGTCTATCAGTGTTGTTGGGGATCTACACTGGGCAGTGGTGGGAGAGAGCTCAGGACTTGGTTGTCAGATAAGCTTTGCCTTCCAGCTGGGGGAACACTGGGCTGAGGAATGACCTCTTGTGAAGTGTGGGAAGAGACACCTGATCATGTACTGTGGTGAGGAAGTCGCAATGCCTCACAAGTTAATAGGCAGCTGGTTAAATACACTGTATTTACCAGCTTGTTTCCTTCTTTCTTTACAGTGATTGTAGGATGCCCTCGTGTGCATTTTATATTTCTTAAAATTAAATATTAAGTTCTATTACAGAGCCAGTCTGAAAAAAGGAAGGTTAGTCATACCATATTGTGTATTTCAAGTAAGTTCTTGAAGCTGAGCCCTGTTTCAGGATCATACAATTCCTACTAAACTTGTATTTTCAGAATAGAAGTGCCTATCTTTTTTTTTTCCTGAAAAAATTATTTTGGTAAAGCTCTGTAATTAAATTGTTATGGATTGTTTCACCTATACCTTTTGCATTAAATCATGTAAAATTAGCTTATGTTTATGCATTGTTTAATATGAGGAAGAGTGCTTCTGAATGTGTTGTGTATTTCAAATGTATTTTCTGCAATTGTCATACTTACTGTCATGTTTTGTTTTTTTGTTTTGTTTTGTTTTTCATAAGCTTTCAGAGTGGTTCCAAATGAAGCATTTTTACCCCTGGATGACCCTCATTCCATGAGGGAATCTGGAAGGATATTCTCTGTAGCCAGAAGAACTTGCTGGCAGTGCTTAGATTCTTTTGTGTTCTCAAACCCTTCCCTGACAGTAAGAGGAAGACAGTTTGGGTGCCAGGGTGGCTTCAGGAAAGAGCTTGCAGTTGGGAGCCAGAACCTGACACTGTGGCTTGGCTTATTTAAGTTCTGTGCTGTAGCTTCCTTTGTAACTCGTGAATGCCCCTAGGAAACCATCCTGAAGAGTGGTGTGTGCCCAGGCTAAGTTATTGGGTGCTGTCACAGAACGGAATCTGAAGGCTGTAGACCAGAGCTTAGCAGACATTTTCTATACAGGTCAGATGGGTGACGATTTTATGCTTTGCAGACTGGACAGTGTATGGCCTGTACTCACCTCTGCTTTGGGAGCGCAGAACCCATGGGGGACACTGGGGTCAGAGTTCACCAACTCAGCTCTAGGTTGTTTATAGATGATGCAAGACATTTGGGAAACTGTCTTTTTAAAAGTATAACCTGATGGGCATCCCTTGAAAGGGATTTAATAATTAGGATTTAAGAATTCTGGAGGTGGATATAACTGGTTCTAGACCAGCTTTGCAACATTCCCTAGTTGTCTGATCTTGGGCAAATTATTGAGCTTTTCTGTGTTTTGGTAATCTGGTCTCTAATTGAAGGTAATCACATATGGAGATACAGAAGGGGGTGGAATAAATCCTTAACACAGTCCTGGCCCTGAGGATATGCCTAGAAACTGATTGCTGAAATTACCTCCAGTCCCTCCCACAGAGGGAGGTGCCAGGTCCAGACCCTCTAAAGGACTTGCCTGAGGGGACAGTAATGTGCCTTGTGTATGTTACACACCTTAAACTGCAAAATAGGGGGCTGGGCAAAAGCTCTTGGGACCTTCTGGTTCCACTGTCTCTCATTCTGCTAATTGGCTCCCTGGAGCTTAGAGAGTTAATTATCCTCTGGTGGGTTCACACTCAGGAGCAGGAAACTGGCAGCAAATGGGGGTGGGGGGAGGAGTTTAGCTTCAGTGTGTGTGTGTGTGTGTGTGTGTGTGAGAGAGAGAGAGAGTACATGTGTGTGTGTGTATGAGTGTGTTTCTGTGTGTGAGTGCGTGTGTGAGTGTGTGTTTTCTGTGTGTGAGTGTGAGTGAGTGTGTATGGGTGTGTGTTTCTGTGTGTCTGTGTGTTTCTGTGTGTGTGTGTTTCTGTGAGTGTGTCTGTGTTTGTGTGAGTGTTTGTGTGTGTTTCTGTGTGAGTGTGTGTGTTTCTGTGTGTGTTAGTGCATGTGTGTGAGTGTGTGTTTCTGTGTGTGTGTGAGAGAGAGAGTGTGTGAGTGTGTGTGTGTGTTGTGTGTGTGTGACTTCCCAGACACCCAGGGGAGAAGCCAAGTTCTTGGTGTTCAGTTTGGTGAATAAGAGCCCAGTATACATTTCCCATCTTTTCTTTCTTTTCTTGTTTTGGGTTTTAGAGACGGGGTTTCTCTGTGTAGCCCTGGCTGTCCTGGAACTTACTCTGTAGATCAGGCTGGCCTTGAACTCTCAGAGACCTGCCTGCCTCTGCCTCCCAAGTCCTGGGATGAAAGTGTGACTCCACTGCCCAGTTCAACAAATCCAGTCTTTGGTAGGGTGGAGTCTGTGAGTTCACTGGTTCTGTACTGGATTGCCTGCGTGGAGCTGCAGCGGGCCTGGGCCTCGCTCAGCTTTCTCGTGCTACGGTGACCAGTTTGCAAGGGCACACTCTTGGCTTCCAACTGGCCTTGCTTCCCCGTGTGTTCCCACGTTCTCAACGGCACAGTACTAGCTCCGTCCACCACATTAATGTCAGTTTGGGTAGACTAAGAAGACCGGGAGCCTAGTGGTGGAGCGGGGGCAGAGAGCAGACACGGTGAGCTGAGGGGCGAGACTCGCTCAGACGGGACCGTGTGCCGCTGCAACGAATCGCGGGATCCTCTTTCCTTCTGTCCTCTGCAGTACACACAGGGTGTGTACACACAGGGTGGCACACTCCTTTAAGTACCAAAGAAAAGAGTCGCCATGGCCGTCGGACGGGAGCAGGGCTGGCAGGAAAGAAGGTTAACGTATGAGTTAAAATGCAAAGTTGGCCGGGGAGTGAAGAGTCTTGAGTGTCCACGGCGGCAGAGAGACCCAAGTGAACAGAACTCGAGAAGACCAGTCTGACGAAAGGGAGAGCTGGGACAGACGGACAGACGACGGACGGACGGGGAGAAGAGGGGACTGGAGGGCTGAAGGACGTGCTCACCAGGGGGGGCTAGTCTGAAGAGCACCGTCCACCGTGCCTTTTGCTGAGAAGAAACCTCTGTGCAGCTCTAAACAGCGTCTGCGGGCAGATAGGAGTGATATCAAAGTGGGGATTCCCTGAACAAGGAATAGACGTAGAACCAGATTCAGTATAGCAGATTCCCGAATGTTCACGAATGCTACCTTTTCATCTGGGGAAAGAACTCTCATTTATTACCCTTCATTTATTCCAGTTACCATACATCAT